GGAAAGGGTTACAGAGGCACACAGAGGGGTACCTCAGTTTAAGAGTTTAATCCATTCCTGGAGATGGCTCGTATTCCAAAGCTAATTTCCCCATAAGAAATAATGGGAAATGAATTAATCCGTTCCTTACTACCCCAAAATCCCACATCAAACTAAATTTTTATACCTAATTCATCTAAATAAACCTCCAAAACTATGTTCAAGTTATTACTTACCTTGCTGTTGAATGCTGTAGGCGTATGGAAGATGGTGAGGAGGGGGGAGGAGGAGAGGAGTTACTGTTTGGAAGGGGAGTCCCCTTCCATTATCACATCAGGCAGTGAGGACTTCACTGGTATGCACACTGCCACATTTTGCCTGCATACCACTAGGTCTTGCTTGTCTTACTAAGAATTTGTCTAAAGACACTTGTTTTTCCCTACATTTTAACACTTGTCTGTAGTAAGACATCACATTATCATTTAAAAGGTCAATGCAACGGCCTGCTACAGCTTTATCTGGGCGAGTTTTTTCAACAAAACTTTGCAGTTCTTCCCATACTTCACACATTTTCTTAATCGAGAAGGGACATCCTCTACTGCCTCTACTCACAGCTATATTCTTAGGTTGAACCTTACCAATGGCTTTCTTGAGACCCATGGCGAGATATATAATGACAACTTTTATGCTCAAATGGCCAAAAAAATGACAAAAAACTGTAAATCCTTGTGAAGAATTCAGGTGGGATAGTCACTGGGCACGAGACACTGGTAAACTGAGGCGCGATCGCCGTGCCACCATGTGCTAGTCGGCCTGTACACGTATCAACAAACTCGCGTTCCGAGGTAACCCTCTCCTTCCGAGACAAATTTTCCGAGGAAATCCTGCTCGTATGCCGAAAAACTCGCATACAGGAACACTCGTATTCCAAGGTACCACTGTAATGGGCTCAGGGACTGAACCCCACAATTCATTTAGCTAAGCAAGTTACAATCTTGATGAGCTAGTTACAAAATTCAATATAAGTCGTCACATCAACAATGGGTTCAAGATTGACCTCAAGTACAAGTTCTAAATTAAGCAACTGACATATGTGGAGAGCTAGTGTCAAAATTTATATGTTTGTCCTGCACACCGCCCCCCCCATCCAGTGGGCAGCGGTGGATAGGTTACAATCACTCAGTTACTACCTACAGTTAGCAAACTGGGGATATTTGGCTAAAATTTCTGGTAGCAGATCATTTTGAATGAAATATTTACACATCGCTGGAACACTGGTTATAGAATTGTCTCTGAATTCACGTAGTGGCCACCAGTAAACAACATGATAAGTCGTGCAGACGACGCACCTCCCTCACCAAAATGGCGGCTCCTAACCTATTCCTATTGCTGTTAATACACTCTATACACACGTTATATATAAGTTTTTATATTTGTATTCACCATAGCGAACCACTAAGCTGGTATGGTTATCTTGAGGTTATCTTCTTGAGATGATTTCGGGGCTTTAGTGTCCCTGCGGCCCAGTCCTTGACCAGGCCTCCACCCCCAGGAAGCAGCCTGTGACAGCTGACTAACACCCAGGTACCTATTTTACTGCTAGGTAACAGGGGCATAGGGTGAAAGAAACTCTGCCCATTGTTTCTCGCCGGTGCCCAGGATCGAACCCGGGACCACAGGATCACAAGTCCAGTGTGCTGTCCGCTTGGCCGACCGGCTCCCTCACCGCATGGTGAGTGCAATCAATAAAAGGTGGCCACACACAGTCAGAAGACGACGCCACAACCCTCTCTCCCACAGCATTACTCCTCCCTCCATGGAGCACAGCGCTAAATATTACCACAATCCTGCTATTATCAAAATCCTGGTCAGTTTTATCACAGTCAAGGGTCTGCTGTAATACTATCATCGCTAAATAATAATATGAACAGATATATTATGGCATTTGTAGGCGATGCTGTGGTTACAAGCTGAACAGCAGTGCTGTGAGCTCGTGCTGTGTGCATCAGCCTTGGTGGCTTGCACAATACTGAAGCCCTCACACCCAAGAATGTTGGCCTGAATTTTTTTTCTAGGTGGCATTTGGCAACTATCGGTCGTGGCTGAACTATAGCTGCTCCTATCCCAGGCGGGGCGTTTAAATTATAGCGCTAGATACGAAATCATATATATATGACATGCGCGGTTTTGGTTTTGTCACTGAAAGCATATATATGATTTGCGCGGTTTAAGGGTTAAGAGGCCAACCCGTTCTCGCGCTTTCTTATAGTCAATATTTACTTATTAAATACGTGCATGTGTGACATACTAATTTATTGTGAGTATTTAAGTTTACCTTGAAAAGCTTCATAGAAAACACCGACCGTACCTTATCTTCTTAGTATGTTAAGATAAGCATCTTATTGCTTCGTAATTACAATTATTACCTACCTTTCCTAACCTTCCTAATTACCTAACTACCTTTTTACCTAATTACCTAATTACCTGCCGTAATTACCTAACCTTCTTAGTATGTTAAGATAAGCATCTTATTGCTTCGTAATTACAATTATTACTTAACCTATACCTATAATAGGTTATGTAATAATTGTAATTACGAAGCAATAAGATGCTTATCTTAACATACTAAGAAGGTTAGGTAAGGTCGGTGTTTTCTATGAAGCTTTTCAAGGTAAACTAAAATATTCACAATAAATTAGTATGTCACATATGCACTTATTCAATAAGTCAATATTGACTTAAAGAAAGTGCAAGAACGGGTTGAAGAGGCACATCAACAAACTGGAAAAGGTGCAAAGACATGCCACTAAGTGGCTCCCAGAACTGAAGGACAAGAGCTACAAGGAGAGGTTAGAGGTATTAAATATGCAAAAACTAGAACAGAAGAAAAAGAGGTGATATGATCACTACGTAGAAAATAGGAAAGAATTGATAAAATTGATAGGGAAGAATTCCTGAGACCCGGAACTTCAAGAACAAGAGGTCGTAGATTTAAACTAACGAAACAAAGCTGCTGGAAAATATAAGAAAATTCACTTTTGTAAACAGAGTGGTAGACAGTTGGAACACGTTAGGTGAGAAGGTGGTGGAGGCCAAGACCGTCTGTAATTTCAAAGCATTATATGACAGAGTGCTGGGGAGATGGGACACCACGAGTGTAGCTCTCATCCTGTAAATACACTTAGGTAATTACAATTGTTTATAATGTGTTGAGTAAGAAGGGAGCAGGATAATGAGCGCCACGCGAGGGATGGTGGGGAACAAGTGGCGTGTGAATGAGCATGCTGCACAAGCGAAAGGTGGACGGATATGGGGAATGAATATACGAGTTGAGCAAGAGGCAGAGGAGGACTGGAAGAGTACAGCTGCGAGTGAGAGGCAGAGGAGGACTGGGTGAAGGGGTTACACGTGTGAGTGAGAGGCAGAGAAGTATGTACATGAGCGAGAGGCAGAGGATGATGTGGTAGTATGTGAGTCAGAGGGAGAGGAGGACAGTGGAGTACATGTGCAACCAATTGACAGTGGAGGACTGGATGTGTATGCATAAGAAGAAAAAGAAAATGAAGATGCATGAGCAAGAGAGAAGGGGTGTGCAAACAAGAGGAAGAGTTAGATGTTGGAGTATGCAAGTGAGAGGCAGGAGAGGGCATAGGATACTATAAGCGGCACATGAAGGAAGAGGAGGAACGAGCGGCACATGGAGGGGAGAGGAGGAACGAGCGGTGCATGAGGGGTGAGGAAGAACTAGTAGCGCATGAGGGGAGCACACAGAAAAGAGAAAGGCATATGAGGGGAGCACGAGGACACGTGTGGTGTGAGAGTGAATGAGCAGCATGCAAGGAAATGAGGGGCATGCGAGGGGAGAGTGCAAGAGAACTAGTAGCAGGCGAGGGGAGCATGAGGGAACACACGACATGTGAGGGGGGGGCGTGAGTAAGGGAACGATGGGAGTGCAAGGAAATGAGAGGCGTGTGAGGGAAGTGCTAGGAAATGAATGACAGTGAGGGACTAAGGAGCACATAAGGTAATGAGGGGGAGCATGAGGGAATGACGGGGGGTGAGGGGCATGTGAAGGAACAAGGGGAGGGCTAGGGAACGAGCAGTAGATGACGGGAGCTCAAGGGGAGCGTGAGGGAATGAGTTGTGTGTGAGAGAACAAGCAACGTGCGAGAGAGTGAGCAGTATGTGAGGGGAACAAGCTGTGCATGAATGAAGCGTGATGAAACGAGCAGTGCACGAAGGGAATGCAAGGGAACGAGCGGAACGCAAGGGGAGCACAAGGGAATGAGTGGCGAGCGAGAGGACCCCGATGGAACAAGTGGCGCTAGGGGAGGGTGAGTGAACAAGGGTGGGAGGCATTAGGTGATAGGAAATGTGCCCAACCATTTTTGTCCTGCCTGGGATTTGAACCTGGAATTGTCGATCGCGAGTCGAGAACAAACTTGACTGTACTGCAGGGATCAATTTAGAGTAATTTTTTTTTCACAGGGATATTTTTGCGGGGCTCTAAGCTTCTGGCTGGGCCACTAAGTGTTGCTTGTTTCTGTTTTACTTGGGCAGAGTATGAGTATTTATGACTTTGATGGTCGCCCCTGGAGGTTGTTGATCCAGGTAATCTCTTCGAAGGGTCAGATGCAATAAGCAAGGAGCAACGGTTTCAATCTCAACAAGCCACAACGTAGGACTGAAAACACAGGATGCTTTTTAACCCACTGGTTTATAAACCCCTGGAACTGCCTACCCGCCAAAGCTTTAAATGTCAAAAATATTAAATTTTAAAATTGAGCTGGAAAAATAGGAAAAATTAGGGCAAATGACCCTTGACAATCTGGTGGCTTCCTGTCCACATCGAGGCCACTAGTGCGCTAGTGACCCCTCAGGTAAAATTACTTTATATGCCGAACTACTCTATATGTCGTTCACTCCCCTATTACCATACCCAATGCTTTACCCTGTGTGCCCTTGGTGCCACGGGCGCCCTTCTTTTCCCTGCAGAGAACTTATTATATTCATTCTTACAGGGGCGATGAAGTGTAGGTACCTCATCTGGGACCATCGAAGAAGATAACCAGGTCCTACATCTGAGGTAGGCGGCTGGACAGGGGGGCAGGCCCAGCCAGCTCGCACGAGCACTAGGCTGATCCTCCTTTCCTCTCCCCTAATGGACGACTCGGCTTCCAACAGAAGAGAGTCCAAATAGCACCAAGTAACGACAACATCTCTACCAAGTTCTCCCTGCCCACCGCCTTACTCATGCAGTGTTTGCTTGGCATCCATTCCCCACTATTCCCTTATTTCTTACCTTATGTTTGATTGCACTAATATAACTTTGACCCTTTACCTTACCCACATGTGTATTTAAGATAACTATGTATATTGTATTCATTTCTTACCTAAATATGTTCCTGAGTGGAACAAAATGTAGAAAATAAATCTTCAGTAACAACCAAGTTTTTCTTTATCATGAATTTCGGTAACTCGATTGCTCTTCTTAACCCCTTGAGTAAGAAAATAGTTAGCATAGAAAGCTTATATTATAAGATCAACAATGCAAGCAATGCTGTGATATTTAACCAAATATGCTTAAAGGAATGCCTGCTGGCCAAGAATACAAACATTAAACCACATGACTTGGAAGTAAGAAATGAAGCTATAAACTATAGATAAAGGTTTGATCTAATAAGGAAACAACTCTAGTTAAAAGAGGAAGCCTCGTCACCATCATCACGTCACCACGCCGCCGTCTGTGCAACCCCCCCTCATCCTCGGGAGGGGGAAGGGGTGCCCCAAACTCTCCATGCCAGCGATCCAACTGGCAGATCTTAGACTGGATGTCAAAATACGTGAAAAACACCGCCGACCTGAGGGAGGGAGGGATGTCGGGGAGTCCAGGATGCCGGGAAATATAAATGGGGTATCTGTAAGCATGGGATATCGGGGAGAACAAATGGACTATGTAAATATGATCATCCCAGAAAGTGCAGGACCCTTCTTAGTACAGGTAAATGTACTAAAAGCTGTGATCTCTTTCACCCAGAACTGTGCAAGAACTCTTTAAATAAGAATGAATGTTTCAACACAGAATGTCCAGCTTTTCATATAAAAGGTACCAATCGAATAAGACCGACAAACCATATCAATGAAAGCAACCACAAGACTATTTACCAGGAGGATTTTTTAGCAAGAGGAGGAGGAGGAGGAGAAGAACTGCTAAAAATGTCTAGACTCTACCACCAACTCTGTCAAATGCTAGAGAGGACGCAAACACAGTGGCCTCCTTACCAGAGCCTCAGATATTAACACCAAGTAAAGCATCCAGCACTTCTACAAACATAACATCATTTTTATTTGCCAACATTTAGGGTATAAAAACATGCAAATGTAACAAAGTGCACTTCATAGATGGCCTCTTACATTAGGCAAATGCAGTGTTTGCAGCCCTAACGGAAACTCACACAAAAGACTATCATGATGGTGAAATGTGGATCTCAGAGTACAATCTTTTCAGATGAGACAGGAAACACTAGCTACAGGGTGGGGTCAGCCATCAAGGACACACTCATCTGTACTGAGCTGCTAAACACCACAAATGATATGGTGGAAGTGCTAAAAATCAAAACAAGAGATCTTAAATGTAGTTATTGTCCTTGTATATAAGTCACATGAAACAAATTATCAGCAGTTCAAAGACCAACTAATGAAAATAGAGCACTGCTTGGAAAATCTTACAAATCCAGCCACAAACATCATCCTGCTTGGGGACTTCAACCTACGGCACCTGAAATGGAAGACCATAGCAGATACAGTTGTATCAGAGAGAATTCCAGGAAGTAGCCTAAATGAACAGGCACATGCAAATGACCTGCTACGGATAAGCGACAGGTTTGCCTTAAACCAGCAAATAGTAGAACCAACTAGGAAGGAGAACATGCTGGACCTCATTTTCACTAATAATGGTGAATTGATCAGGAACATAATGATTACAAATACCTGTTACTCAGATCACAACTTAATTGAAGTTCTGACAAGCATGGGGAATAAACCTTCAAAACCAGTCCCGATTCCCGGTGGAGGAGATTTCAGCAAATTCAACTTCATAATAAACAGATAAACTAGGAGCAAATAAACCAGGACTTCACAAAAATAAGCTGGGAAGAACAGCTAGAAATTGCAAACCTGAACCCAGTGTCTGGAAAAAATAAGCTCAGAAGCACTAGAAATATGTGCAAACTGCATATCCCTAAGAAAAAAAGAGGTAGAGATGCAGATTGGAACGGGAATGTCGTTCCCTCTATAGGCGAAGAAAACAAATCGCGGAAGAGTCGAAGAGTCGAATGCTTGAGAGTCGCACCCTATCTCAACAACGGCAAAGAAGGTTAGTAGAGAAATAGAAACAATTGAACTAAAGCTACAAGAATCATACAAAACCCAGGAGAGGCAAAGAGAGCAAAAGGCCATCAGTGAAATAGAGAGAAGTCCGAAATATTTTTTCTCCTATACAAAATCAAGATAAAAATCACATCTAGTATTGGGCCCCTGCGAAAGGGAGATGGAACTTTCACTGATGACAACAAAGAAATGAGCGAAATACTGAGGAATCAGTACGACTGTTTTCAGCGAGCCAATAAACTCACTGAAGATCGATAACCCAAATGAATTTTTCATGGATATGATACCAATATCAAATCATATATCAGATGTCACCCTATCCCCACTGGATTTTGAAGAAGCCATAGACAGTATGCCTATGCACTCTGCACCAGGCCCGGATTCTTGGAACTCTATATTCATCAAGAACTATAAAAAACCTCTATTGCAGGCCCTTCACACTGTTTGGAAAAAAACCCTAGATACTGGCATTATCCCTGACATATTATAAACTGCAGAGATAGCACCACTCCATAAAGGAGGAAATAAGGCAGAGGCAAAAAATTACAGACCGATAGCACTAACATCGCACATCATAAAAATCTTTGAGAAAGTGATAAGAAGTAAGATCACAAAATACATGGAATCACATCATCTCCATAACCCCGAACAACATGGTTTCAGAACAGGGCGCTCTTGCCTATCACAGTTGCTGGACCACTATGACATGGCACTAGATGCCATGGAAGACAAACAAAATGCTAATGTAATTTACACAGATTTCACAAAAGCCTTTGACAAATGTGACCATGGTGTTATTGCACATAAAATGCGTTCAAAAGGAATTACCGGAAAAATAGGCAGATGCATCTACAATTTCCTGACTAATAGAACCCAATATGTAATAGTCAACAAAATAAAATCCGGACCATCATCCGTAAAGAGCTCAGTCCCCCAGGGTACTGTGCTTGCTCCAGTAATTTTTCTCATCCTCATATCGGACATAGACAGGGACACAACCTATAGTACTGTATCATCCTTTGCAAATGACACTAGGATTTTTATGAGAGTAGACAACATAGAGGACACGGCAAACCTCCAAATCAAATGTCAATCAGGTCTTTCTATTCTTTCTATGTGCTACAGATAATAATATGGTGTTTAACAAAGACAAGTTTCAGCTTTGTAAATGTTATGGAAAACATTTGTAAACATTTACAAGACTTTGTAAAACGCCATGGAAAAACTGAAAATATAAAAACGAAAACCATTTACAAAACTCAATCAAATCTTAATATAGAACGGAAAGGCAATGTAAAGGATTTGGATGTACTGATGTCGGAAGACCTTACATTTAAAGAATACAATAAAGTAGCCATCACAACTGCAAGAAAAATGATAGGTTGGATAACAAGAATCTTTCACACTAGAGATGCTATACCGATGATGATATTTTTCAAGACACTAGTGCTCTCTAAAGTGGAATGCTGCTGCACAATGACAGCCCCTTTCAAAGCTGGAAAAATTGCTAACCTGGAGAGCGTGCAGAGATTCTTTACTAGATTCTAGATTGAGATTCTAGAATCCACTCAGTAAAACATCTTAACTACTGGGACCGACTAAAGAGCCTAAGTCTATATTCTCTTGAGCACAGGCGGGAATGATACATAATAATTTACACATGGAAAATAGTAGAGGGGCTGGTCCCAAACCTGCACACAGAAATAACAGCACAAGAGACCATTCGGCAGGATGTGCAGAATACCCCCGTTGAAGAGCAGAGGTGCAACAGGTACTCTGAGAGAGAACTCTATCAACATCAGAGGCCCGAGACTGTTCAACACGCTTCCATTTCACAGAAGGGGCATAAATGATCGACCCCTCACAGTGTTCAAGAGAGAACTTGACAAACACCTCCAAAGGATACCTGATCAACCAGGCTGTGACTCATACATCAGGCTGCGAGCAGCTGCGTCCAACAGCCTGGTTGACCAGTCCAGCAACGAGGGGGCCTGGTCGATGACCGGGCCGCAGGGTCGCTGAGCCCCGAAATCACCTCAAGGTAAGGTAGCCTACAGGACTAGCCCAGAAAATGGCGTTTCATTACATTTAATGCTAGTTTTCTGGGGGGAGCCCCATTGGTACAAAAACCCAAGCAGGGCAAATTGGGCCTAGGCCCCCCAGGCAACCCCTCCCCAACCCTGGGAACTTCTACGGTAGGACCTGGGGCTGAGACATCCCCCAAAAGCCCCAGCCCTATAAGTAAAATCCGGGGCAGCTGTGCAAAACACTAAGGAAAGGAGCCCACTGGTCAGACCCATACGGCACAACTGGAGGAACAGGCTCGAATGCCTCCGCCGCCACCCCGGAAGAAGAAAATCCCTGAAGCTGCCAGAGTCTCAACCCAACCCAGATCCTACCCCAACCATGAAACCCGCCAACGGTTCGGAGCCGGAAGCAAGGGGAAGGAAGTATGCACAGCAGAAGGGGAAGGACTAGGAGGAGCAGACGGAACTAGAGCCTGAAGCGACTCCCACCCCTAAATCAGGACCCAGATAACCAACGGGGCAGTCTCGGGGCATCCAGTGCCGCAACCAAGCTAGCTCATTGCAGCAACTCAAACCTAGTATGCAACGCCACAGCTGCCTGCCCTCGCAAATCATGATCAGTAGCTTGGGTGAAGGGGAGCATATACAGACAAAACACGTCGCACGACTCTGGGTCAAAAGAATCACCGACCCAACAGGCAGCATGGTGGAGGCACAACCGGTGAGAGTCACCCTGAGACAAGGAGACAGAGCAACCTTCAAACCACAGCCCGTGCTACCTTCGCCACCCTGGAACTTTTTGTTCCGGATGGCGAATCTTAAACAACAACAACAACCTTCAAACTCGCAAGACGTGAGGGAGGACTCAGGGGTCACATCCATCGGACCACGTAACCCCTGTGGGGTTTCCCAAGGCCCTTAGCCTTGGTTACACACTAAGGGAAGCCCAGGCAGGGTACTGCAAACTGGTGCCCAAGTCTACCAAATAAACTTCTAAAAGTTGAACCTCCGGGAGCCAAAACAGAAAATATATATATATATAAATACCTCTAGAACAGCAAAGGGGGACCACAAAGGCAGACCCCCCACCAGGCAAAAAACAAAAATAAAAGAAAAAACCAGCAAGAGGACAACGTACTCCGGTGGAACAGAGCCGGCTTCTGTTATTGGTGAAAACTAGCTGCGCAGTACCCCACACCCCCTATCAGTGACGAAAACTACCTCCTACCCATAGGCAAACAAGGGCAACAAAACTCCAGCTGACTCCAAGGGCGGTCAAGTACCGAGCAGTAAAGGACACAGCGGAGGTAGATCCCAAGGTGACTTGTGGAAGGTGGCCCCAAGCCCCAAGGGCAGTTCTTACAGGGCACCTAGGGAAGAGAGCCCTAGGCGCATGCAGCCCAAGTACCGTGGAATATTTCTCCTGGCTCACACACCACCTGTAGAGACATCTACACCACAAGGCACAGAACTGAAACAAAATTTGAGCCAGAGGCATCCGACTGGCCAGTAAACACATCAGCCAAGAACTACTGGTTGGATCGCCGGCACGGAGGGACTGGGGCAACCCTGGGGCAACACAACCCCCCTTTCCCCTCCCAGGGAGGGGGGGGTTGCGCAGACAGCAGTGCGGCGAAGCGATGACATCATGCTAGTTTGATCATTTTCTTTGGGGAGTTCTGTCCACTCGTTCGGCTTTCGGTAGCAATATTTTCACCAGAAGAGGGGTTTGTTTTGGGGCGCCTACCTTTCTGGGTGCCTGTCTCGGTCGATGGCAGACACAGAATGCTCCCAACTACAGGGGGGGGTTTCTATAGGCCATTGCTTCTCGTGCCTCTCTGAGGGGGTAAGGTTCTGGCTCATGGTCCTCGGTAGGCAAGAACTCCAAGCACTTGACTGATGCCGGAAAGTTATACATATCCATTCAGCCTGGATAGCTCCGGGGAGCCAACGGGGCTCCCTCCAGAAAAAATGAGGCGATATGATCACTATATACAAAATAGTAAAAGGAATTGACAAAATTAACAAAGAGGCTTTCTTGAAGCCTGTAATTTCAAGAATGAGGCTTCAGATTCAAGCTAGGGAAACAAAGGTGGCCAAAAAAATATTAGACTTTTCTTTTGGAAACAAAGTCATAGATGGTTAGAACAAGTTAATCAAGAAGACGGTGGATGCCAAAACGTCAGCAGTTTCAAAGCGACATATGACAGAGTACTGGGAAGATGGGACACCACGAGTGTAGCTCTCATCTTGAAACTACATTTAGGAAGTTACAACCTGTGTAACCCCTCCTCATGGTTGCAGGGTAACTCCATTTGGACATTTGTGCCTTGTCAGTTCTGCTCATCTGAGGCTCCCTTTGTGCTGGATACTGCACTTAGCTGTTGGCAAACTTCTCTTGATGTCATTGGTTGCCTCGTGTCTAATAATCTTGTATACAAAATGATTTAAAAAAAATCACATATACAATTTAATATAATATATATACAGCATAAGTACAGAATACATTATATACAAAGTCTTTGAAGAATATTGCACTAATTATAATTTTTCTACCTTACCAAAATTTGTACAATCTATTAAAGCTTAACTTAACAAAGGAGTTAAGGTTTGCTTAATTTGAGTTAGTAATATTTAATATCATTTATTTACAGTGTAATATTTGTAATATTACAAATACTATTGTAAAGTAATATTGTAATATTTAATATCACAATTATATAGGGTAATTTCACAAGGGATTTACAATTTTTTTTAGTTTGAGGAAATAAAAACATTGTACATGCTCCGCTTATTTGGTAAAACCAATACTGGCAATTAAGCCTTAGTGGCAAGTTCAGAATATAAATCACATCCACCCAAGTGAGTCTTCAAGTTTAGTTTTTCTTTATATAATATTTTGTACATTAGTTCATCTATCCTCTTGAATCCACAACTTTTGACAAATTACTATATTTTAGATGTCTGATTAGTCTAGATATGACCTGATGCTATTTCCCTCAAAATTTAAATAGAGATACATCATTGTTACATACTCCAGACCAGAATATATGATAACATTAACTAGATACTGTAATGTGTGGTTTCAAAAGCTGAGTACTTTTCTCCATTTGATACTGAATTTTAAAGTTGATAGTACATCTTTGCCAAGATATTCTATTGGTGTTTTTCTATAGAGCTAATAAGAGTTACTAAATTTACAATATTGTCAGAAACAGCTATCACTCTGAGGAATAGTATTCAAATAATTATTGGTTGACACTATGGTTTTCTGAGAAGGTATAGTTACACTTTCAGTGTACACTACCACAATCTAGAATGTAGTGTTCACAAAACCCATGAAAGTTGCAATAGTCTTCAAGGTTATGGTATCCACGAACCCATTAAAAACAACCGTGCTTTGAGAAACTGTTACAAGTCAAAATTCATATGGTTATTGTGTTTAGTATCTATACAAACACTTGAAAATGCCTCGGTTTGTTGAAAACAGATTTTCAACTATTTAAATATGTGTGTTTTGTGATATTTGTATTATTGTGTTGTTTGGCATGAGACATCTCTGCTGTCACTGGTAATGCTCTTATTGTGTAAAGATATGGTGTCAATGTGCTCTTTTGATGATATTGTGTTTTGCATAATTAATGTCTCAAAGTTCCCATTAGGAGGAGGTTCATAATGCAGAGGTATGGTATTTATATTGCTATAAGAGAGAGGCCTTTCATCCACAGGTATGACAGAAGTGGTATCATAATAAAGTGTAATACTTTGTTTCTCGTTCTCTGTTTCTTGCTGCCGAGATACAATTTTCACGGGCAAATGCCGAGAGTTTTCTGAAATACCATATTGTGACAAGGAAGCTGCTATACATTTTTCTTGTGCTAAAACGTCTTTTTGAGAAGTCACAAAGTTCAAATATTTTAGCTGATTTTCTGCACTTGATTTATAGCAACTTTTAACAGGTTCAACAAGTGGATCAGCTTTCACGGCTTTGAAGTATATAGGTGGAATATAATCTTCACTCTCAAGTGAGCAAAGATCATGCTTATCAAGAGAAATATGTTTACAAACTGGTAAACAACAGTTTGCACTTACAATGTGCTGGCTATCTAAATTATTAGGTACAACTAAATTAGACTCCAATTCTTGATTTGAAATTAACCCATCTTCAGTTTCAGAAACATTATGTTTTTCGCTATTACTGCAATTCTGAAGAATATTTTTGCCCATTTTATTCTTTGGAAAATTGCTCTGAAGATCTGGCCGCACTCGGAATGTCACAGTTTTTACTATATTTATTTTTCCTGGATTATTAACAGAAATTTTGTTATGAGTTGTACTGTATGTTTCATCCATATTATATTTACTGCAAATGGTTGTATTTTGAAGGTCTCCTTGTAAAATAGGAACTGCTACTTTATTTTTTTTATCATCATCTTCATATTCTTTGTTCACTGAATTCATTACAGCACAAGTTGTCCTTGGTAGTTTATCATATCCTGTTGGTGTATCAAACACTCGTGCTGAAGTATCACGAGACTGATTTATATCATTCAAATCTACTGAATGTTCTTGCTGAGGTAATGTCATATAATTATCAGAATGCCTTGTTATACTACTTATATTATTCATTTTATTGTGTATTTCTTTGTTTGATGAATTAAGAATATCTACAGAATTATTAATGGGATTTGATTTTATACTTGTGTCATCACTTTCATTTAAACTGGATTCTAACATCTTATTATATGTTAAATGTCTCTTTTCTGGAAATGATTTATTAACAATTGATTGAATAACTGGCCTTGTAAAAACCCTATGAAGTGGCTTGAGGTTTGAGCAAGTTCTTTTTTTACCATTCTTGTTAGTCATAGTTTCTGTCATGTTTACAGTTACAGGTATACTTTCATATGGGCTCTCACAAGATTCTTCCACCGAAGAGATACTTAATTGATTCCTCAAATAATTAGGAGATTCTAAGATTAAATCTTTTTCTCTGGATAGTATTGTTGCATCTTTCAAATTAATTAAATTTGTGTTATTATGTTTAATTTCACCATCTTCACATGTCAAGCCCATCTGGGAATTATTTCCACTACAGGACTCTTGGTTCATTTGTTTTATTCTTTGGTTTTCCTCAGTTGCTTTCCTTTGGTTAGATTCAAATTCATTAAAGGCCACATTAGACACTATATCTGTCTGCAATTTGGTACCTTCTCTGATGTTATTAATTACTTCCATATCTACATTCATATCTTCAAAATCCATAAATGATATAGTACTTTCCCCGTCACTTTCAGCATTAGATATAATCATAGGATTCACATCCATTAAGTCTTTACCATTCTGGACACAAGTCAATGTTTTACTGGTGCCACAATCCACAATGTTTTGTATTTTATTTGTAGTTTTCTTGCTGTGTGATTGAATGTTGATCCACTCTTCATAACCTGTTACCTCTCCAGCTTCATTAACAATCTCCACATCATCTGCAATATAAAATGTTCACATCAACATAATCAAATATTTTTCTTAATCTTCATAAATATACTGTATAGTAATTAACTGATATGGTTTGATCACAGGTGAATGAGGAATACATATCCCATTTCCTGTGTTGTAATACCTCATGATATAATAAATATGAAATTAACTTTAAAATAATATTTGTTCCTTTCCATCTATGAAGCAGCATTACAAAACAATACCTCTTCTCTATCAAGTATCTCCTCAGTCCCATATTCTCAGTTACTCTTCTTTCTCTCTTTCTCTCAGTATGTAGTATAATGCTGCATTTACTGCACAACACTTAGTTTACATTCTAACTAAAGTGTAAACCAATCATTCTCATTGCCAATATAACATATCTTTTGCATTTGAAAAAACCAGCGTTGAATGTAATGAAACGCCATTTTCTGAGTGAGTCCCGGAGGCTCCCCAGAGCTATCCAGGCTGAATGGATATGTATAACTTTCTGGCATCAGTCAAAGTGCTAGGAGTTCTTGCCTACCAGGGACCACGAGCCAGAACCTGGCCCCCTCAGAGAGGCACAAGGAGCAATGGCCTATAGAAACCCCTTTGTGATTGGGAACATTCTATGTCTGCCATCGACCGGGACAGGCACCCAGAAAGGTAGGCGCCTCAAAACAAACCCCTATTCTGGTGAAATTATTGCTACCGAAAGCCAAACGAGTGGACAAAACTCCCCAAACAAAATTATCAAACTAGCATGACGTCATCACGTCGCCGCGCCACCGTCTGCGCAACCCCCCCCCCTCCCCGAGAGGGGGAAGGGGGAGCCCCAGACCCTCCACGCTGGCGATCCAACTGGCAGTTCTTAGGCTGGAAGTCAAATACGCGAAAAACGCTGCCGAACGGAGGGAGGGCAGGATGCCGGGGAGCCTCCGGGACTCACCCAAAAAATGGCGTTTCATTACATTCAACACTGGTTTTCTGGGGGGAGCCCCGTCGGCTCCCCGGAGCTACCTCCCCAAAGATAAGTAAAACAGGGAAGGAACCGGGAGGCGGATACCACACGTCCTAACTGAACAACCAAAACCAGAGACAAAACTAAGACCAAAACGAGAAGAAAAAGACCACCCAGGCCAACGACCAGGACGGCCCCAAAACTCAAGAGCAGGCCAGAGGGAAACAACGCCCAGGACAGCAAGTGGAATGGAGCAGAAGGAACTGCAACACTGAACGCAAGCAGGAGCGGCTCTGCCAGCACCACCCAACATGAGGTGACAGGACAATCCCAGACAACGGTCCCAGAACAACCCCGAAGGGAAGACAAGACAAGCCAACCCTATCAAAGACCGAAGGACCCTTCACAATGATAGGAAAACCACACACTGCCCCCGAGACGAAACACGCAGGTGGGAGACCAGTAACCTGGGACCTGTGTTCAGATTCGCAAAACGCGAAGCTAAAAACAGCGACCCCGCAACCCAAAGGAGCAACATAACCAGCTCCAGCAGGGAAGAATGAGACACGCATCCCTGAGGCATCCAAGAGGATAACAACCGAGGACGAGAAACTGCAGGAAAGCAAACACACCCGGTCCGGAAAAGGAACAAAGAAAAACCGAAACCAGGACCGGAACCCAGCAAACCCGGTTCCAAGAAAAAGGAACCAGGAAGGCAGGAGCGGCAGACCGAAAAGTCCACACCCCCCCATCCCCACAGACAGCGCAACCTGAAGCCTGCAGAAAACCACACAGAAATCGCAGGAACTCGGTACCAAAACGGAACACCGGAGAAGTCCAAAAGCAGGACGTGGAACATGGACAGAGGCCCACCGGAGCACCAAACAGGATAACCAAGAAGCACTGACCCAGACACACAAAAAGTGTAGCATGGGGAGGAAAAACGGAAATAAGTAAGGAAACCACGAATACGGCCCAAGGAGCGGCCGGGAAGTAACGCACATGACCAACCACAAAATGTGAAGAGGATTGCGTACATACCTGAGGGACCTTACGGACAGCAGTGTGCAGTCAGGCATCGAAGAGAGGCAAGGAAAGTGTCCAGACAGGGAAAAAACCCCGGGGTCGATAACGAAAACAAAAACACCAAAATGCCGGGCAGAGCCCCACAGGACAACAAAGAACAAAAGATGGACAAAAAAGGCACTAAAGACACATGCAAGGTGACCAAACACCCCAGTCAGGAGCCATCGACGCAAACCCGCCAAGGGGGGAAGAGTAAACAAGGATGGAACAGTGAACAAGGGTGGCGGAGTGAGTAGAGTATCCCAAGAAGATACTCGCTCCAAACGCATGAGCCTAACCAGAGAAGCAAAGCTCTCCAAAGCACCAACGATGGAACTCAAACCGTTCTGTACGTTCAAGGAAAAGTCCTGCCAACCTGTGGAGAACTGTGAGGCAGCGCCCAAGCATATAACCAGCAGAGTAGCGAAGAATAACTAGACTACCTGCAAGTGTGGTCGAGAACAGACATGCGAGACACCGTACCGACACTCAGAGTGCCCAACCCGCACCATTGCCCACCAAAATATCACCCGCAACTATTGAATATGCAACAAAAGATAAGTAGTTTCTTAGTGTTTGTGTTTATTGACCAATCCCCACGAAACAATAGAAACTGGGATAGTGGCACAAGCCACCCTTGCGACACATTGCAGGTACGAAACAACGGGCATAAAAGGGATAAGCGCAGAATCAGGAAAGACCGGAGGAATGACCTGCACTGTAATAGGCCCGGTGACGTGTGGAACCAATTACCACGTAACGTGGTGGTGGGGCCCCACGATTGGTGCAAGGGCGGGTTGGACATGTATGCGAGTGGGAATGGATGGTAAGAAACAGTAGCAACCTCGCACGGGCCAATAGGCCCTCCGCAGGTCCACTGTACTTATGTCCGTATGTTTGTGCACACAAGGAGACACAGACACTAAAAGAACCTGATCAATGTCAGAAGGGAAAAGAAGCAAAAAGCACCAAAAAGCCATGTGGAGGAGGCAGAAGCCACCCACAGGAGCAAACGGGAAGACAGAGCCCAGAAGGCTTAGGAAACTGCACAACCGTCAACTGAGAGGAGAAGCGGGGCCCAAGAGCCAGAGCCAACCCCCACAAGCACAACTAGGCAAGCACCCCATCAAAAGTGAGAACCAGCACTAGGCCGACAGAAGCGCCAGACAAGACAACGTCACCTGCAGAGCAGACACAAGACCGTGCCACAACACAGGCGAGCCAAGCAACATACCAGGAGCAGCGCTAAAGGTGTGCCCGAAAGCCATGCAGACTCGAGGCAGTAGGCATAGTATGTACCGTTACCTGAAGAAAATGCGAGGTCGAAGGAGAAATATGGCCAGAGGTGCGCGCCCTGCAGAAGATGAAGCAGTACAGAGGGAGAACAAAGTGACACCCCCAGATATAAATCCAAAACACCCTCAGCATCCAGAGGGCCACAACTGGAGGGAGAAACCAGCAAGAAGCCATAGAAAACCACGAGAAACGGCGCGAACACACGAGCATACCGCCCGTAAACAAAACGCACACCGCGGCCCCAGCACACTAGGTACGAAACGCACCACCCGTCCACCGGGAGGCGTGGCTCGTACACCAGGCGGACACACAAATCATACACACAATGTACAGACATCGTACAAACACCAGGAAGGTGTGCGGAACGAAGACAAAGAACGCCGAAACTGGAAGTAGAGACGACGCGAAAATAAAACAAGGCGAAAACGAAGCAAAAGAAAACAGATGATGGAAGGGAACCAACAAGGCCGACAAAAGACCCGATGGAAACCACATCGAAAATCAACAGACGTTCCAATAATATTGGAAGGTACGAAGAGACTCGCGAACCAACGAGAATGCTTTGCCTGAAACGCTTTGCGTAATAGTGGCTCCAGGCATTGTATGTACTAGCCCTATCTATAAATCCAACATACTTTGTAAAATCTCTAGTACGTATGTACCGTACCTAAATAAACATTTATATTTATTATTTATTTAGAACCACGACAAGCACCCCTGACAAAGGAACTTGCAGGTACAATGATACGAAACGGTTGAGGCACTATGTACTAGGCCAAGATAGAAATCCATCAATGTTTGTGTCACACCTTGTATGGATGTACCTTACCTGAACACTTTTTTTTTTTTTGAACAGCATCGCGACATAAGAGCGAAAAGGGTAAGGAAAAGGGTGTGAAACACACCCCCAGGAACGACGGGGTGTGTTATATGCGCACAGGAGGAATTTCACAATAAACTCGACGTATCACAGAGGTTAAGCATGTGAATTCTCATTCTTTCAAAATACCTCACTAGTATTGTGCATTTAATGCAGAACCAAGCAACCTGTAATTATAATTAACTCACCAGTTCCCATTTTATTATGTAGGTCATAAAACGAGGTAACCCAGTAACCATCCTCTGGGAACATGCTTGCAGGCATTACTTCATCACTAGGAATGGGTGCCCTGCCTCTATATTTTCTTCTTCTTATATATCTATTCACAACTGGCTGAGAAGGTGTCTGTAAGATAATTGCTTAATTACTATACAAAATATTAAGAATTATGTGAATAAAATTACTGTTTCCAGTTTTATATATAATCTAAATTTCTACCTGTATGTACTAAAGTGTGGGATAAGATCATGCCTCTCATACTTTGGCAACCTCGAGAAAGGGGATAACCAATTCAAATAAAATTATTTGTGAGTTTTACCACATAGATTAACTTGTTGCCATGAACACATGAAAACAAACATGAAAATGGGATAATTCAAATGACTCAAAATTGATGGTCATTCTATCAAACTGCAAGTTAAGGATGGGTTATATAACCATCAATATTCATACAGTATACTATACAGTATGTTGATAAAGGGCAACATAACTGATGGAAAGAACCAGCAAAAATATTAGACACTGAATGTAATGAAAAACTTTTTTCTGGTGAGCTGCTTAGTAACTTCCTGATCTACAGCACTGGAACTGCCAAGCTTTTAGCAACAACATCAGGACTCACAGACCCAACTGGGCTTACTAGGAACCAGGACCAGATTCTTGGTGTCTGTATGAGGCAGCAAGGGGGAAGTCTGAGGATTAGAGATCAACTCAAAACTGAGAAAAAACCAGTGTTGAATGTAATGAAACGGCATTTTCTGGGTGAGACCCGGAGGCTCCCCAGAGCTATCCAGGCTGATATAGATATAATAGATTTTGGCATAAGTCAATGTGAATGGAGTTCTAGGTCTACCGGGGATCACGAGCCAGAACCTGGTCCCCCTCAGAGAGGCACGAGGAGCAATGGCCTATAAAATTGCGCATGTAGTTATGGAGCATTCTATGTCTGCCATCGACTGGGTCAGGCACCCATAAAGGTAAACACCCTAACACAAACCCCTATTCTGGTTGAAACTACTACTGAAAATCAAAGTGGACAGAACTCCCCAAATGAAAACGAGTATGACGTCACCATGTTGCCGCGCCACTTGTCTGTGCAACCACCCTCTCCCCAGGAGGGGGAAGGGGAAGCACCAGACCCTTGTGCCAGCAATCCACCCTGATGTTCTGAGGCTGGATATCGAAACATGCAAAAAAACGCTGACCGAAGGAAGGGAGGGTTGCCGGGAGCCTCCGGGGGGGTCTTCCAAAAAATGGTGTTTTATTACATTCAACACTGGTTTTCTGGGGGTAGCCTCTTCGGCTCCCCGAAGCTACTTCACCAAAGATAAGGAAAAGAGGGATGCACCTGGGAGGCGTTCGCCACACGCAACTCAAATCGAAAGCTAGACAACTATCATCCACCGAAGGACCCAGCAAACGACCAGGGAAACCCAAACCCAGGAACAGGGAAGAAGGGAAACCAGAGCAATCCAAAGCGCGTCCCCGGACACAGAAGCCAAGGCGTGCAAATAACGGCAGAGCCGCAACTGGACACAATATATGATGCACCCCCAGCCAAACCAACCAAGCATCAACAACCCAAGGAGTCTCTTGAAAACAGCAGACTCATACCACCCCAGAAAAGAAGAAGATGGCTGCCACCGAACAAACCTACCACCGGGACCAAACGAGCAGAAACCCCTGCACCAGAGGAGAGCATGAAGCTAAATGACCTGACCCCCAGAGGAGCACAAATAATGGCAAAGAGCTGCAACCAAACACAACACATGATGCACCCCTGGCCTGACCAACCAAGTATCAACAACCCAAGGCCCCTCCGAAATGTAGCCGTTTCATTCTTCGCCAGAAAACAAGGAGACAGCTGCAACCAAACAAAACGACCACCAGGACCGAAGGAGCAGAAACCCCTGCACTGGAAGAGATCATGAAGCTCCCCGACCTGACCCCCAAAGGCCAATGCCAACAGAAAAAGAGCTTTAGAAAAACAATCCCGAATGGAAGGGGCCACAACAAACCAAGGAGAAGAGAGAAACGATAGCACCCAATCCAAAGACCAGGATGGCTCAAGAGGCACATGAGCAGGCCGGAGGTGAAACAACACCCGAGACAGCTTGGGGAATGGGGCAGAAGTAGCATCAACACTGAAAGCAAGCTGAAGCGGCTCTGCCAGCGCTGCACGATACGAGGTGACAATATTCGGCATAAGATGACGGTCCTGGAACAACTAAGAGAGAAAGGACAGAACAGCCCTATCAGAGACTGAAGAATACCTACGCAGTGACAGGAAGAACCAGAAGGACCACCAGGAAACTTCATACTGTCACCGTGATGAAGCACGCAGGTGGGAGACCAACAACAAAGCCACTTGCTCACCATACAAGTGACGATAAACCAGAGTCAAAAACTCCAGACGCGAAGACTCAAGGAGAAGACCGAACCAACCTCGTACCGGGCTGGACCAATCCACTGAAAAAGGCAGAGCCGCGGGAAGACCCTCGGGTTCGGACACTGAGCAAGCAGCGCCTGAAACCAAGGCTGGGCCGGCCACCAAGGAGCCAGAAGGACAACTCTTCCCTGGTAAGTTTCCAAGCGAGCCAGGACCTGGAGCAACAGCTGAACTGGGGAAAAGAGGTACAGGTAACCTCACCTTGCCCAGTCCTACCTGAAGGCATTGACCCTGACGGCCTTGCAGTCGGGGAAGGATGCCATGTCTACCGGGAGACGCCTCGACCACGCCGACGTGAAGAGATCCATGTCCGGCGTCCCGAATCTGGACGCAGTCTGGCACAGCCACCAAAAAGAGTCGGCGTTGACCATCCATTCAGTGGAACGGGGGAAGGAAAAGAGACAGGCCTTCCACCAGGACGTTGGACACCCCCCGGACGTGAACCACCAGAAGAGCCAAACCCTAAGAACTCAGCAGATGAGTCACCCAAAGCAACCAGCCCCAAAGAGAGAAGGACTGCATTGAATCCTGGTTCAGGCAATGAATCACTGGGGAGCAGTCCAAATGGAGCCAGATCATCGATCCGCGAGCTACTCGAACCCTCTGGAGCGACATCCACACTGCCACGAACTCCCCGTCCGTGCTGTGAGCTCGACGAAAGAACGGACCCCACTGCCCCTGGCTGGCCTGGTGAGTACTAGTCACAAAGCCCCAGACAAGAGATGACGTGTCCGTGAACACATCGAGCGAGGGCTCGGGTAGGCGCCAAGGCACTGAACCCCAAAAAACCTGAAGAGGAAGCCGGCGACGCAGCAACAGACGCAAAGACCCTGGAGGCCAAACCCAACGGTCGCGAGAGAAGAGGAAGGAACATCCCCGAAGGAACCAGAACAGCCGACGAAGCCACACCTGACCCGGTGGGTAGACCATCATGGCAAAGTTCAGGTTCCCACACAAACTCTCGAGCAACCGCCACGTGACCCGGGAACCCCTCAGAAACAGACGAAGGCGGGACCGTAGATGAAGCAGAGCCGCCGGAGGCAGAGACAAGGAAGCGGTGCGAGCGTCCCAAACCAGACCCAGCCAAGAACGAATCTGAGAGGGAAACAGCTAGGACTTCCTCCTGTTCACCAAGAACCCGGCAAGCTGGGAAAGAACCAAATCCCTGGCGAGCAGACACATGGACTGGCTGGGAGCCCAAACCAGCCAGTCGTCGAGGTAGGCAGGAACCCGAACACCTAACAGTCGCAGGCAGGACACCACAACCCGAGTAAGGCGTGTGAAAACGCGAGGTGCCAGATTCAAACCGAAGGGAAGACAATGAAAGCGGTAACCTTGATGCCCCACAATAAAACCAAGCCAGTCCCTGAACCTTGGATGAACCAGGACGTGCCAATACGTGTCCTTAAGGTCCAGGAACACCATCCAAGCACCTGGCTCCAACAGAAGACGGACCTGGGATAGAATAGTCATCCAGAAGGAGGGGCAATAAACCCATAAAGCCCACAAATCGTGGGACCAGGCGTGATCAAACAGGGTGAGCCACCCCTCCATCGCTCCATCATTGGGACGAACCGCGAAAGGGCCAACGTGCCTTGCGAAAACTTAAGCGGCGAACAGAGCGATCCCCACTCCGACCAGAAACAGCCGGAACCATAGGCTGCGCCTGCCCCAAATCTGGCACCAATCGCCTACCACGACGAAAAGAACCCCGAGCCCTGGCACGACCTTTCCAGGAAGGCCCCCACGAGACCCCCGGAGCAACAACACCTCAAGACATAGGCCGACAACTAACTGAGGCCGCCTGCAAGTACTGGACCACAGCAGACTCAGCAAACAGCAACAGACAAAAAAGCCAAGACGACCAAAGAGCCAGGGCCCAAGAGGATTCTAAGGAAGAAGCCAGCACCACCTGCTGACACAGGAGGCGCGAAGCATTGAATTGCAAAACTGCATCACGCAGGAGTGGCGCAAAGAGCTTCAACAAAGCAGACGACCCTCGCACTGCAGAGGGCAGTGCACCGGACCTGGCAGCGGCCCCAAGTGCCCCCATATCAAACTCAAGCCAGTCAGAAGACAGCTCAAGGAGGGAAAAGAAACGCAGGGCCAAAGAATGCAGGCCACGAATACGCAAATCCTCCGCCACCAAGGCAGCCGAAAGGGAAGGAACCTGCACATGAAGCTGCATGACACCAACATCCCGCGGAAGAGCAGGGGTGAACAAACAAGCATTGAGATGCTCAAAGGCTCCCCCCAGGAAAACCTGAAACCCCAAATGAGTCTCTCGCCACTCAAGCGTGCGGGACGATAGAACATGTGCCAAGCCTCCAATAAAAAAAAAAAGAGGTCAATCTGCCAACCAAGATGACCCCGGAACTTCATAACGAACCCAGTACAAACCAGAAGAGCCAAACATGGAGGAACGCGGATCCATCACGAAGGCATAATCCAGGTCGCGCAGGAGGTAAGCCGCCAAGGCTTCCCACACCTCAGAAGACGAGACTCGGGAAGCTGGAAATCTCCAGAAAGACGGAACCAAAGAACCCACGGGATCACGGAACCGAACCCGGGAAGGGGTGGACATCAAATCCAATTCGTACGCAGAAGGAGCGAAAGAGAACCTCTCTCCTTGTAACACCAAGCCCCGCTCAGAGGGCAGAAAAACCCAGGCGAGGTC